GAGTTCCCAGAGGACAAAGTTGTTTGTCTCCTAAATATTGCCCTAGCCCTGCTAGAGTTCCTGGCTTATTAAGCACTCTATAAATGTCTGGTGAATGATTCACAAATTAATGATGTACATATCTGTTTCTGTGTTTTGCCTTACAAAAAAATAATTTAAAAAATCCAGGTTATAAAGCATTCACCTTTTTTAGGGGAATAGAAATAGTTAATCATCTTACAAAAATAATTTAACCTAACAATAAAGAAGTGGAAGTTAACGTGGTTTCTTTTTAACTTATGACAGTACAGTCCTTTAAAAATAACACTTGTGGAGATATAGTGAGGTAACCAATGGGTCTGTTGGTATAACCTTTTTTATTGGTATAACCTTTTTGATAAGCACTTTGTCACTAACTACCATGAGTCTCAAAAATCTGCACCCAGGCTGCTGTCAGCCTGGGCGGTTATCATCGAAATGGGCAAGTTCATGAAATCCCAGGAAGGTGGTGCTGCTCCTAGCCAGATGCTAATCTGGACGCAAAGTCATCATCGTCAAGAACATTGATGATGGCCTCTCAGATCGCCCCTACAGCCATGCTCTGGTGGCTGGACTTGACCGCTATCCCCGCAAAGTGACAGCTGCCATGGGCAAGAAGAAAATTGCCAAGAGGTCAAAGCTCAAGTCTTTTGTGAAAGTTTATAACTGTAATCACCTCATGCCCACCAGGTACTATGTGGATATTCCCTTGGACAAAACAGTTGTCAACAAGAATGTCTTTTGAGATCCTGCTCTTAAGTGCAAGACCTGCTGGGAGGCCAAAGTAAAATTTGAGGAGAGGTACAAGACGGGGAAAAACAAGTGGATCTTCCAGAAGATGCGGTTTTAGATCTTTTTTCTTTCAATCATTAAAAATGCAAAAAATCCCTGTGCCTCACTCCTGCATGTGTTATTGGACTAGATATGGGAATATTCCTGGAATGAGAGACATTTGGGTAGTGGAGGAGGACTAGGAAAATTCAAAGTTAAATCGATGTTTCTCTGAGACTAGTATCCTCAGTCTTGTAATCCTTTAATCATCCCTCAGTGGGTAAAGTGTGATCTACTGAATTGTTTCTTGATGGCTTTTATTGGCTGTAGAGTTCATTTAAATCAGCTTTTAGAAAAGACAAATACATCATTTGTTGACATAATCGCATTGATTTTCAATACACTTTGTCCATCTACCCAAAAATAAATAAATAAATCTGCACCCAGTTGCTACTGTAGGGATTTGTACCATGTAAATGAGAAAAGATTATTCAAAACAAGATAGTTTGTTTTATTTATTCATCCAAAACAATATTATTTTTTATAACCAAAATGGAAATGTACCTAATGTTCAATATAGGACAACTTCACTATAATTGTTTACTTAAATCATACTACTCCATATATGTTGTTGTTGTTGTTAGGTGCTGTGGAGTTAGCTTTGACTCATAGTGACTCTGTGTACAGCAGAGCAAAACACTACATTACACTATTCTCACAGTTGTTGTTAGCTATGAATGCATTGTGGTAGCCACTGTATCGAGGGTCTTCCTCTCTTTGTTGGTCCTTTACTTTACCAAGCATGATGTCCTTCTCTGGGGACTGGTCCCTCCTGGCAATATGTCTAAAGAATGAGAGTTAAGTCGCATCATCCATCCTGGCTTCTAAGAAATATCCCAGCTGTACTTTTTCCAAAACAGAATTACTCATTTTTCTGGCAGTCCATTATAAATATTCAGTGTTCTTTGCCAATACCTTAATTCAAATACATTGATATCTCTTTTGTCTTCCTTACTCATTGTCCCACTTTCATGTGCATATGAAGTGATTGCAAATGCCTTGGGTTGGATCAGGTGCCACTTAGACCTCAAAGTGACATCTTTGCCATCTTTTGCAACAGATTTACACAATGCAGTATGTCATTTGATTACTTAACTCCTGCTACCCTAAGTGTGAATGGTGGATCCAAGTAACATTAAGTCTTTGACAACTCCAATGTTTTCTCCATTCATCGTAATGTTATTTATTGGTCCAGTTATGAGGATTTTTGTTTTCTTTACATTGAGCTGCAATCCTTACTAAAGGCTATCATATTTTATCTTCATCAGTAAATGCTTCAAGTCCTCTTTACAAGGTTGTGTCATCTATATATCACAGGTTGTTAATGAGCCTTCCTTCAATCTTGATACACGTTCTTCTTCATGTAGTACAGTTTCTCAGATTATTTACTCAGCATACAGACTGAATAAGTTTGGTGAAAAGATACAACCCCAACACACACCTTTCCTGATTTTAAACTATTCAGTATCCCTTTTGTCTGTTTGAAAGACTGCTTCTTGGTCTATGTACCAGTTCTTTCAAATGTTTGTTATGTTCCACACAGTCAAATGCTTTGCATAGTCAGCCAAGCACAAGTAAACATTTTTCTGGTATTCTCTGCTTTCAACCAAGATCTGTCTATTGTCAGCAATGATATCTCTCATTCCATATCCTCTTCTGGATCTGGCTTGAGTTTCTGGCAGCTCCTTGTTGCAACCGTTTTGGAATTATCTTCAGCAAAATTTTACTGGCATGTGATATTATTAATGATACTCTGATGCTTTTCAGATTCCATTGGTTCATGGGCACAAATATAGATTTCTTCCAGTAAGTTGGCCAGGGAGCTGATTTCACATTTCTTTACAAAGACAAATGTATGCCTCCAGTGTTGCATCAGTTTGTTGAAACATTTCACTTTGCTTTCTGTCAATTCCTGGAGACTTGTTTCCACTGTCTTCAGCGCAGCACGGACTTCTTCCTTCAGTACCATCAGTTCTTGATCATATGCTTTATCTTGAAATGGTTGAGCATCAGCCAATTCTTTTGGGTACAGTGACTCTGAAGAACTCCTTCCATTTGCTTTGTCTATCTCCTGTATCGTTGAATGTTTTCCCCATAGAATTCTTCAATACTTCACCCCAAATTTTTTCTTCAGTTTTTTTCAGCTTGAGAAATTCTCTATGTGTTTTTCTTCTCTTGTGCTGTTCTAACTCCAGGTCTTTACACACTTTATTATAATACTTTGTCTTCTGGAACTAACCTTTGAAATGTTCTGTTCAGCTCTTTTCTCCCATTCACTGTAGGTTCTGTATATTCAAGAGTAGCTTTTAGTCTCTTCTGACATGCATTTTGGTCTTTTCTTTCTTTCCTGGTTTTCTAAATGAATTTTTGGTTTCTTTGTGTATGTCTTCGATATCATCTTACAACTCCATTGATCTTTGGTCATTAGTGTCAAATGGCTCTAATCTGTTCTTGAATGATCTCTAAATTCAGATGGGATATAACCAAGGTCATATTTTGATTTTCATGGACTAGTGTAGGTTTTCTGTAGCTTCAATTTGAATTTGCAAATGAATGATTGATGTTGTGTTCTACAGTTGCCTACTGGCTTTGTTTTGACTGATAATTGAGTTTCTCCATAATCACTTCCCATATATGTTGTCAGTTTGATCCCTGTGTATGCCATCTGATGAGATGTGCATGTGATTTTTGGAGTCTTTTCCATCACCAAAGATACATTCTTCAACTACTGACCTTTCATCCTTGTTTCCAACTTTCTCATTCTAATCACCAGTAATTACCAATACATCTAGATTGCATGTTTGATCAATTTCAGACTGTAAAAGTTGATAGAATTCTTCAATTGTATTTAGTTGTTGGTGCATGTAAGTTTGAGTAATAGTAGTATTGTAGGTGTATGAATATTATCCTATCATTGCACTAGACTTCAAGATAGATCTTGAAATGTATTTTTAACAATGAATGTGATACCATTCCTCTTCAATTTGTCATTCTCAGTACAGTAAACCATAGGATTGTCTGATTCAAAATGGTCAGTACTAGACCATTTCATCTCGTCAGTGCTTAGGATATTGATTTTTATGCATTTCATTTCATTTTTTACAACTTCAAATTTTCCTAGATTCATACTTCATACATTCCACGTTCCGATTATTAATGAATGGTTTGCAGCTGTTCCATCTAATTCTAAGTCATGCCTTATCAACAGTGAAAGTCCTGAAAGGTTATTCCATCCATGTCATTAAGGTCAACTCTACTTTTAGGAGGATTCCCTTCACCAGTCGTATTTTGTGTACCTTCCAACGTGACTGGCTCGTCTTCCAAAACTATTAGACAATATTCTACAGATATTCCTAAAAAAGTTTTCAGTAACTAACTTTTCAGAAGTGGTCCACTCTTACTTCTTCAGCTCCACGGAAACCTGTCCACTATTGACAACCCTGAAGTATTTGAAATGCCACTGGCAACCTTCCAGTATGACAGCAACACCATAGTAGGACAAACTGACTGCCAAATGGTGGGATCCATACATAGGGACATTTATGCAAATAAAGTACTTATAGTGGCTTTGGAAATTTTTATACAAAAATACAAAACACTGAATTATCTGCCTACTGTAATCTCAGTGCATATGAAAAATTTAAAAGCAACATCCCAAAATATGATTTCTCAAATAATGAGGTTATAAGCCAAGAATTCTTCATTCTTCTATATGCCTTTCTATACCTTCCTAATTTTCCACAATGAACAAATATTTCTTTTCATATGAAAAGAAAATTTTAAAAATCAAAAAGAATACTTTTGAAAACTTTTATAATTATTAATTTAAATAAGTGAAAACTTAAATTCACCTCAGATCTTGCTGTCCTTCCTAGTAAAACTCATTTATTTCTGGGTTAGCCTCTCATTTCTTATTACTTCCCAAATAATGTGCCCATGTAAAGAACTTGCCCACACATATAATGTGCATGTCACACTTAGGAAAATAACACATTAGGGGTTGCACAGTTGGCAGAAAACATAGTAATGTGAGTTTGTGTAAAACATGGTGCTTTTGTATCATTATAGAAAATCGACTCAAGTTTTCTGCTCTTCTCACTGCAGTCAGTTGTTTGATATCCTTTGCTCGGAAATGGCCTTTGTCTCCGCAGGTTGGTGGCGCTGTAGCTCTCTGCCTTTACGACTGCCATAGCAGACTACCCTTCAGCAGACTCAGGTTACGTATGCCTGTGACCATTGAGTTCGGGGAGGTAAGGAAAACCCCCTAGTCATATCTACTTCATCAAGGCTGCACTTGCTGGTTGTTAATAAATCACCTTTCCAAATCCTAATCTTGCTTAACTTGTTTCCCTTTGATGACAGGATAACATGAGAAATAAAACAGCATTTGTATTATCTCGGGATAAAGTGAATTTTCATCAGTTCATCGGGTCTTCTGAAAACTCACAGGAATCTCTACAAATTAGAATCAGATTTTCTCAGACATTCACAAGAGCCTTCCCCATAATGTTGCTTGTAAGGTATATTGTAGAATAATAATTACTATGGTAATAAGAATTGGAGCACGGTATATAATCCTAAAGATTGTATGTGAAAAAAGTTGAATGAATTTCGTTGTGTTTTAAAAGCAATAATGAGGTTCATTGTTTATATTTCACTATACAGTGAGTGAGTTCCTCCTTTGTTTATCGAGACTTTATCCATGCCTATTACATATATTGGAATGAGAAACATCCACATTGTTAGTAATAATATGTTGTTGTAGTTAAGTACCGTTGAATCAGTTCCAACTCACAGTGAGCCAGTATGAGGTTTCCAAAGAGTGGCTGGTGAGTGTGAACCACTGGCCTTATGCTACACAGTGACTCAAGTAATACTATGTTGATGTTATTATTAAGTGCCATCGAGTAGGTTCTGACTCATAGCGAGCTGGCATAGGCTTCCCAAGGAGCAGCTAGCTAGCATCAACAACAAATTTAAGAATCTAATCCTTGCAAGGGTTGGTTGAGCACTGAGCTGCTAACTCAGGATTGGAAGATATGGCAGTCTGCTTCTGTAAAGATATGCCACCTTGGAAACCCTATGGAGGTGGATTAGTTCTCTCTCAGATTTTAAACCTGGTCTATAATTTTTCTTTCAGTTTTTTTTTTTTTTCCCCTCAAAAGAAGACGATGTGTTCAAATTGATTAATATCTGAGTAGATTTGATAAATTAATCATTTTTCTTAGAATATTGAGGTCATGACACTTGTGTGG